ATATATTAATTAAAAAAAATAATACATTGAAACAGATGTATAAATCCCAGGAGCTCCGTGTGCTCCTTACAAATGACAGCTGCCTCCTAACTTCTGAATTTTTCTCTAGTCTAGTCTTGGAGCTGGAAAAGTATCTGTACTTGTACCGAGTACGGTACTTGGTATCGGTGCATCCCTAGTTCTCAGGAAGATGTAACTATGTAACTATGTAGGTCTTCGTAGATAGTTTTGTAGCCTTTACTATGCTTGTATGTTACTTTCTTCCTTTACTCCTCAGACAACTTTCTTAATGACACGAGTGAGTACTTTTCTCCATTTAAAAAGGCCAAGTGACTGATCATGAGGGTTTAAAGACACCGGTAATGCCAATTAAAGGGAATAGTCTTAATTTGTAAGGTGTATTAGGAATTTGGTCCATTCTGTTTTTATTGGTTTATTTACAAGAATATGTTGTCATAAAGCAAAGAGTCTCCTCTATGGACTATGAAATTAATGGTGGATTCCATTTACTTGTTTCAGCTTCAACCTATTTCTCAGCAAATTCTTTGGCAAAAAGCTGGACCAATACTTTTGTGTGTGTGTTCTCGTTCCTTCCATCTATCTATCTATCTATCTATCTAAAATACCATATATAATACCAACACACCACATCAGACCGCTCATCTAGCTAACATAAGCTATAAATAAAATAATGGTTGGTTAATTAAGGCATTTAGCAGCAGCTAGACATGCAATGATGCTGGAATCCTTGTGACTAGCCAGACACGTATGATAAAGGTTGTGATCACTCCAAAAGTTATTTTATTATGGAAGAACAGTCATATGCTACACGCTGGTACAAACCATCAAAACTACTAACAAAGACACAGGTCATAGTTTTACCTTATTTTATCTTTGTAAATCTCACACACAGAGAATAAAATTATTACAAGTAAAGGGTTTAAGGGTGAAAAAAAGAAAACTTCCAGCTTGCAGAATGTTTTCTACGATCCAAAGGTTTATTCATTACTTTGCATTGCGCTTTTTCTCGAGAACGATCATTTGACACAACAAAGAGAACTGAAACAGGTGGAATTTGACTATAGTTTCTGCCATGACCTATCATTCTCTATGGATTGAAATAAATGTTTATTAATCCAACTGCAAATTTAAAGCCTGAAATCATCCAAATTCATAGTTCTTATTTCATGGCCGTCATTACACTGTCAGATCAGCTATTCAACCTGTATGTAGTTGGCCTTACTGAAAATCGAAATAAATATTTGTATTGATACATTTGTTTGGCGGTGCAAGTGTCTCTAAGCTGTATGCCCTTTATGCTGGTAGTTTTAAGTCTTTGACATACACACAGGTATATATTTATGCGACCCCCAGCCTCCCTCCCTTGAATCTCTTACAAGAAATTGGTCAGCCATTTTAAAAATGTTAAAGTAAAAGTGCAGCGGGTACCCAATGCAAAGTTTAAATGCTGTTTTTTTCCTGGGACACATAAAAAAAAAAAAAAACAAGCCATAGCACAACCCTTGCTCCCCCAGCAGCTGGCTCTCTCTAATTTCTTTCAGACATTCCTGTGTTAGGGTTGTGGGTGGCCCTCGATTGTCCTCACTTTAATGCAGGACCATTAATTCTGCATTAAAGGAGAACTATGAGGTGAGTGAAAATCACTCATCCTCATAGTTCGAGCCGACATGTGACAATTAAACTGTCACGGCTCAATAGATCGGGAAGTGAGCGAACACATACAGTCCCTCGCTCACTTCTCTATCATCTCCCTGCAGAGAGCAGCGATTGTCAGTCACGACTCCCTGCAGGGATTCCTCCTCCCCTCTCTGATCCTCCAGTGCTGACTGGAGTAACAGATGGGGAGGGGGCGGGTACAGCTGGCGATATACTGAGCTTTGGGCCACGGGAGGACGCTAGTATATGTCTTCCCGTGACCCTTAAGAGAACAATGGGGGAAAACACTTACTCTATAGTTCTTTAAGCTTGATCATGTCAGAGTTGCGACTGCCGGCCAGAGCACCCAAGAGAAGAGGCTTCAGGGGACTGGTCGTATGGAAGGTGGAAGCCTGCAGCAGCAAGGTCTATCGTTAAGTAAAAAAGTGTTTTTTTAAAGGTACCTGGGAACCCCACTGCAAGGGTTGATTTTTAATGTCCTGGAAGTTTAGCATTAACTTTGGAGAGTTGGAAACTAAAGATGGCCTTACATTGTTATATTTTTTTATTTAAAGTGCGAGCTGAATGGGA